TAAAGGAAGTATTTTTAAGTACAATGTATTAATGAAAACAAAAAATCAACAGTATATGAAACGTACAACTTAGAACTATAGTCAACCCAAGGAAGCACTACCATATCACACAGTGTCGCCCTATCAGACTGGTGGCACATAGATATGGGAGAATTATCCTGCCATAATGCAAGAGCACATAACTTCAATTAGAGAAAAGAATTTCACCTTCTTGCACTCAAAACTTATAATGCTCACACTCAAAACATGCGCTCTCTCTCAAATATTTTCTCTTCTCTCAAAAATCTTTGTTTCTTCTCTCAGATTTAAACAGATATTTTCTATATTATCACAGATATTTTTTCCTCTCGCTTGCCTCCATCTCCGCTCTGCACGGGTCTCAGTTACGCTCTGCTTGCGGATTTGTTTTCTCTCTCAGACTGCAGTTGGATCGTTGCCTAGCAACCTTTCCAGCCAATAGAACGACAGCCTCGGAAAAGGTGCGCTTGTTTAACCCTACGGAGTGTGCCTGTGCTACTACGCCACTTATAAAGCGTCAGCTGAAACTGCTATTTACAGTAGTTTTGTGGCTGATTGTTGTTTAGAAATAGAAAACCTGGTTTCATTTCTTAGTTTTGCCCTGGATTTTGTAGCGTTTGTGGACGCTACGTCGCTACTTGATCAAAACAATAACGTCGCTACAGGAAAGTTACTTGATAAATAAAGCAGCGACGCTACGGTCAAGCTACTTGAAAATGTAGTTAAACTAATAGCTTCGCTACATGTAGCGGCGCTACTGCCCATCACTGCTCCTGTGACAAAACTATTATAATGATGCTAGTAGGCTACAACAACATCGTGTTTTCCCACACCACTGACTTTGTTCACCATGGTAACGTAATTCCTACTGAATCAGACAAGCTATTAGGCCTATATTGTCTCTTTCCTCACTCCAGGTAAAGTGAAGAAAATGTAAACCGCTGACATCAAATGGCAAACTCACCGTATGTATCTGCACGCAACCATAACTTTCCTAATCAAGCTCGATGACTGTGTGGAGATTCAAAGGGCGCGCTGTTGCTGCACTGCACAGCTGCTATGGTCCAGTTGATGGCCGTGTACCACGTGACGTGACGCTGGACGCGGAGCCAATGAAGGAAATGAATATCCTAACGATATTAATAATTGTATAAATAATTGTGTTTGTAAATAAACTAACAGGAACTTATCTTCAGATTAACTTGCCTGCTTGGTGGCTCGTTTTCAGTTCTTTACTGCAATTGTTTGGGGTTATATGGAAAAAAAATCAATAAATAAAAAAATAACAATAAAAATCGCAAAATAATTATGGGGTGGCTAATACCAACGAAGGGATGACTTCAGCCACCCTAAAATAGGTCTAGCCACGTCCCTGCTAAAGGATAAATATCAGGCTTTAAATTCTCAATTTTCATATTTAAAGTTTGAAGTTTTACCCAAGACTAGGGTCAGCTTTGTTTTCATCCCCCCTTAAAGGCACACTATGCAACATTTTTCAGTTAATTAATTTGTTCCATAACGTTTTGGATGATTAAATGAGTCCTTTCAGGTTGAACAAAGGTATTCTCGGCCGCCCTGGTGGTCTGTGGGGGAAATATCGCACTTGCAATTGCAGGAGCCCTCGGCCCGCACCCACAGGCTCAGAAGTGTCGCGAGAGTCGGTCTTGCTTTACGGCGAGAACTGCTACACGCCCCCAGTTAAAAGCATGCTCGTTGCTAGCACAGTGGCGATATTTGTGCAGTTATCATGGTGGAACCAGCGTGAAAACAGCAAAAGCCCATGTCGGAGCAGGCAAGAAAGAGGAAAAGGGCTCTGGACAGAGAGAGGAGTCGTACACGGGTGAACCTCGGGCAAGCTTTTTCCGAATGGCGATAGCTAAAAGAAAAAGAGGGCTGTAAGTGTGACGCCGACCTCGCGTTTCTGCTGATGCGATTGTAAGTAACTTTGGAATGGTTTCTCTCTCTCTGTGTGCATGTTCATACTTTCACTGTGTTAGTCATTGTTTGTACTGCCTTTTTTTCGACTTTTGTATGATCGTGGTCTGTTGCTGAGTAGCTAAGTAGCTAGCGGGATGTTTAGCAAGTTAGCAAGTTAGTTAGCTTGCTGACTAAACATTGTTTTTGTGGTAGGTGATAACTGCATCGCTTGCTATTTGGCAAACTTGCTTCACATGTGAAGTATCTCAAGACTGTATTTACTTTACTAAATTCCTTATTTTGCGCAGATTGGGTTTGAATCGCGTTTTGCAATGAGCTGCATAAATCTGAAACCAGTACAAAATGTAGTCGCGTTCGTTAGCCATATACCTCACGAAGCTAGTAACGTTATGTATAAACTAGCGTTTACTGCGTTTTTTGTCTGACTGTGATTTATTGTCAACCACGGAATGCATGGTCCCTCTTCCTTTATCTAAATGAGTCCCCGACCAAAAAAGTGTCATTGTTTGTATTATGACTTTGTATATGAACATTTATTTCTCTTTGTTGAAGTTATAAGCGATGGCTAGTCACATACCGCAGTAGACATGGTGATTCGTTGCGTTCGCCTGTCTGCTAAGCTCAAAACAACCGTGCCTGGTTTGACGGAGAAACCAGGAGAACAGCTGTGCATATTTACGACAGTGCACTTTTACTTTCGCCCTCTGGGGGGAGCCTCGCTGGAAAATCAACACCGGTTGCATAGTGTACCTTTAAAAGTGATATCAGCTGTGTTACCATTAAACATTAAATCAAACAAATTGTAATTACTTAATAATTAAATGCAGTTTCATGTCTTTACATCCACTGCTGCCATGATTTTTCAGACTTACGGCGTTTAAAAACAATTTTAAGTGTATTTCTTATTTAACGTAAATACCAATTTTGAAATTAGCATTTTTGAAATGAGCAGAATTTCAACAGTTTTATTCGCATTTGTAATGGTGCGTTCAGTCTAAACATCTTTTGGGCGTCAAAAACACTCAAAGGTATATAGGAGGATCTTTTATTTCCGGGTGGATCATCTAAATAAGTGGTCCTCCTAACTGTCAATTATCGTTATGTAGGGCCGTTCTGCGTGCTTGCTCCGTTAGCTATATTTTTCTGCGCATGCGCACTTTCAAGTGTAAATCTGTGGTGAGCTACGCTTTCATACAGTCATTGAAGCTAACCTTTTTCTCTGCGGTTCTATGAAAACGGCAGAGGGTCGTAAGAGAAAAAGTGTCTACGAATGTATGACAAGAAAAGAAAGGGCTCAGAAGAGGCAGATATATCCCAGAATGCTTTGCATGGAGAGCTCTCCTCACGTCATTGGGACGGAACTCAATAGGAAAGTAAATGATTCTTGTTTCTTATTTCAACCGTTGCTTGTATTAGCTGCAACATATGAATCAAGATGCTATGACCAAAAAACTTTGATTGACAGATGACCGTTGATATATGATTGGCCGAATTTAGGTGTTCAGGCTGATGTATAACTAACTGGGGTGCATAAGATAAAGAAAAAAAACTGATTTTAAGACAGAATTTTTTTATTTTATAGAAATGTTCTAACTTTTGGGACAATATAGTCTGATAAAGAGTACATTTATATACATATTTAAGCCAGAACGATTTAACATTTCAATATGATTTCCCTACAACTTTAAGGAAATGACAAGTTCAAACCTCTGGAGCAGTGTCCCAAAACTGCAGAAGATTCATTGATTGTAAAAAAAAAAAGAAAGATTTTGTACTTTTCATGGTAGAAGTGATCAATTGTGCTGCTCAGACAACAGAAAAAACTGAAAGAAATCAAAATAATACTGAAAGCTGCAGAAAAGTATCCTGACGTTAGAAATTTTAACTGGGAAACGGTTAACCCCTAGAACCCTACGGACCCACCGGTGGGTCCAGCTGCTACGTGACCTCGTAATTTTAACAAACCCCCAGTATTGATGTAAAAAACATATTTGGCACAGTTTGGTGACATTTATGGATAAATGTGCCAAAATGGCCCCTCCACCTAAGAAATTTCTCACTAATACCGTTCTAAAATAAATATAATTCATCTGATTGATACCAAATTTGGTATATTTTTACACAACATTTAGATTGAAAAGTCTGTACTACTTTTTTGTGCTATAAATAATATTTTGGTAGTGTTTTGCAATGTTTATTTCAAAGAAAATTTTGGCGAGGTTCAAAAAATGCAAAATATTTTGTATTTTGTCCCTAATATTTCAGGCAGGGTCAAAGCTACAATGGTGCTGACACCAGAAAACCATTCTATGACATCTTACCTTTACAGACGTACCAAAAGTTTCTTCTTAAATCTAATAGCCGTGAGGCTATAAGTTATTTGCTTTTGTGTGTTTTTGTCAGGCAGAAATTTATTTATACCCCCTGAGGGTGTAAGAGGTTAAAAGCATGATTGGAAAACGAGTAGGACCATCAGAAAATTGCAGAGTGACGAAAACGTCAAGATAAATTAGAAAAAATAAAGAAGAATTTGATTTAGTATTAATCATGTTGAGTTAAATTAAACAGTTTGGAAAATATAAAGTTTTTTATTATTTTATATTTCTCTGGGGGTGAGTCTTGTTTCCTGTTTCCTTGTTTAACTCCTTATCATTTGGTGGTTGTAATGCACATTAACTAGTTTGCCAACTGCCATAAAACACTAAAAAAAGAAGAAGAGTAATCAGAAACTGTAGAAAACATTTTGCTTTTCGTACAGCTTTCTGCATAGCATCCGTCTCGAATCCACAGAGATTTAAATACATTTTTATTCTTTTCAAACCATGTTTTCATTTCTAAACATTTCTGTTTTTGACTGAGTTTTATAAATTGCATTATTTTAAAATGGATTTTACTAATGCTGTAATAATCTCCCCTGTAAGCTGTGTTGGTTTAGACCTCAGAAGTTTATAGTGTATCATGTTTATTATTTATAGTATATAAAATGTTCAAATGTGTGTTTGGTGACCCATTGGCTGGGATCAGTAACTATTCACTCCACTCACAGGCAGTGGACCACCGTCCTCCCGTCGCCTCCGTCGTACTGCTCCTGCCACTTGGCCAACCTCCTCACCAGCTGGAGGATGGAGCGCTTTGAAAGGGGCGTGTCCCTGTAGGCGGGCCAGCCAATGAACTGGAAGTGCTGAACTAGGCGGTAACCATCCTGTGGCTGCGAAGAAAAGCGTTGCAACAAAAGACTATTACAACAAATCACACAATACAGGATTAGTTTCAGAAAATCAGTCTGGATCTAAAACATCAAAACAAGCTGGAAAAATGGCTGAAAAGAGAAAGCGAGAAAGAGGAATCTGATTTATTTCTGAATGCTAATCTTCATCATATTTCTTTGGGAGAATATTGTTATAAGCGGTTGATGGGTTTCTCCTGTTTGGTCTCATAAGTCATGTTTTAATTTCCTGGGATGTCCCCAGTCAGTTAATAGTTATAGTATTAGTCCAACACCATCGCTGTTGGACTAATACTTTAGTGCTACTTCATTTCTATGCTGGCAGCTCAGGTAAGTACCGACACAGTTCATCCTTGGGTCAGCAGCATCATCACATTACTTTGCACACCGGCCGACGGGGGGGGACAAACGGGTAGTCCTGGCCATTAAAATCATCTTGAAAACATTCTTCTTCCAAATGTTGGCTACATATTACGTGTTTTTTCTCCGGCCAGAATTTCGATGGCAAATCCTCCCTCTTCAATTTGGCAATCCAACGACGAACCTGTCCGTTGAGGATCAGGAATCAGAAAAGGTGAAATAACTCTTTTTTTTTTCACTTTTACTCGATGTATTCCAGCATCCAGCTGCCATGCACGTGGGCATTGTCAGTTTCACTATAGCTCTGGTGAATTTCAATGGTGAAGTCCTCTGGAAATCTTCAATAATTCTTGTTGATTGCAGATGTGTCTAGTAGTTCCCATTGATTTAGCTTGTAAAGCGGGGAGAATGGCGCTAGGCTTACCGCACCGTGACGTCACTGCCGGAAGACGGCTGGAGGGAGATGTTATTGTATATGGGCAAAAATGGCCGCTCCAAAAATCAGTGATTGCAACGGAAATTGTTTTTCTACTGATTAACGCTTAATTCAATAAATCACCGCAAATGAATTAGTTTTAGGTATAAATAATGATCCATTGGTTATTCCTTGCTGACCAGACATATAGCGTGGCCTCACCACTGTAGAGGGGGGTGGGTTAGTGGGGCGATCGCACTTGTGCACCTTGTGACTTTTCCTATCACTTCATTACTGTGTGTCTAAATCCCTCGCTTTATTAGCTGGATTAGCGCTGGGTGTGAGCGCACCATTGGAGTGCTTGCCGTCATGTGACCAGGAAATTTGTAATCTCTGGCGCCCTCTATTTCTACATTAATATGGGTCCAGTTCACTTCCTTTTAAAGGATGATAATGTTCAGCAAAACCAGAGCAAAGAGCCTCAGTTAAGGTGTGAACCTGGATAAACATACAAACTGTAGTAAAATACTGTAATAGAAGGTGTTTATGTCATGGTTTTGGTTGTGTTTAAGTTTTATCTTTGAGTTTTCATTGGTTTTATTTCCATTTTGTGTTATTCTAGTTATTTTCAACTGTGTTTGAGTTCTTGGGTATTTCTTGTTGCCCTCTTGTGTCAGTCTCCTTTTCCTAGCTCCCTTCTAGACTCCTCTGTTCACACCTGCTCCCAATCTGCTGATTAGTCTGGTCCTTGTATTCCTCTCCCATATATGCACCTCCAGCTCAGTCACTGTTGCTGGTTTGTTGTCATTTATTTGCCCCTTTGTTGTGAGCATTCCTGGTTCCCAGTATTTTTGGATTTTGTGGATTCTTGCTTCTGTTTCCCTTTTGCTATTAAATCTGCAAGAAACCACTTCAGCTTTAGTCTCTGCATTCGGGTCCTGCTCACACATCCACCCAACCTGACAATTCAGCTCTGATACTCGTACTTCTAACACTTTTTTTTTTTTTACATCGAATAAACGCTTCCTGTGAAGTTTCTCCCTAATAAATATTGGCATCAATATTAAAAACTGGGCTTTATATTTCAGTGTTAGATGTATTACGAAAAAGGATACATTTCTTTCTAATCTTTCTGCACATCTGCTGTGTTTTCTTTCTTATCCTAATTTCATTTCTTCCACCTTTTTCTTTCCTCTGCTTTTTTTCTGACTCGTTTTTAGATTTATATCTATTTTTCTTTTTTTCTCATTTCCCCTCTTTCACAGTTTCCCTCATTTGACGGCTTAGTGGTTGGTGCTTCAGACTCGGGCAGAGTGAGATGTGCTGTTATGGCGGTGATATAAGCCATTTCACACTACACTGGTGATGTGTTTGAAGGAGAGAGTGCTAGAATATGGAGGGGAGGTGGGAGAGGAGTTCACTAAGCACTATAGGAGCTCACAGATGAGAGGGCAGCACTGGAGTTGTACCGTCATGGATGGGCGAGAAAATGAGATGAGAAGGGAGTAACAAAAAGAAGCGAGACAGTCGGAAAGAAACAAAAGGTAAGACAAAGAGTCTCATCATAAAAAATGTCCTTTCAACAGTCAATCAAGGAGAACAAAGTTCTCCCACAGATCAGCTTTCAATGCTGCATAAATGACTAACCTGGAATCAGTTTCTCATCAAATAAAATTGATTCCTTTTATCTATAAACTCTATTTCTAAGCCTCAGCCCACCTCCGGGTCAGGACCATCCCCGTTTACTGGATCTCATGTCCGTAACGAGGAGGAGCATCTTCAGGAGTATCTTTAGAGAGGGAGTGCTGGCCTAGTGCAGGGGTGACCAATTAAAAATCACTAAGGTCTGGAGACATTTTTAGTTCTAATCTGTTACTTTAAACAGAATTTAACACAGAAATAAAATGAGGTGTTTATGCATCCATGTTATACATTGAATTTTTGAATAAAATAAAAAAAATTCAATTTTAAAATCTAAACAGTTTTTGAAGCAGAGAACAACAATCGTTCAGTTTGGTATATAGACAATGTCCTGACTCCCTTTTCTCATAAAACACCTGAAATGACAGTTGTTTTTCCTTTCTTTTTTCTGGCTTAATAAGAGCATTAAGCTAGAATTAATTTTGAGCATGGATTTCTTTAAACCAAGTTTTTTTATGGGGGAGGTTCCTTAAAAACCTCCGGCTGTTCAGGGAAACCGCTGCAGAAGAAGGAAGTTTCTGATACCCGAGCCATGTTGCAGATCCTGAAGATCCGGTTGATGATGTCTTCGTCTATGTCTGCTGATATGAACTCCACCTGGATCGGACCGTAACAGCACGAGTTCTTCTCCGGCCAGTACTGCATGCATAACTGTAGAAAAGAAGAGACAAACCTGTAGCAACTTCCACTTGACAACATACAACTGAAATAAACCCAGAGTAGCTCCACAATTATCAGGTCTCCATGCAGCCCTGTGGTACCAGTATAATGGTGCTGCTGAGCTCGGTTGCTTACGACCGTTTAAACACAACTCTAGCACGGTTCCTCACCTCCTAGTGGTGATCTACGGTACTACTGCTCTCTAGAGGTAAACAAACAAACCAACATGGCGACGCCTGTAACATTCAGGAAGTTTGTGGAGAGTCAGGCGAAGAAGGTACGGTTTCGGTAGTGTAAATGGGGCTTATGTCTGAACTGTTTGTGTTTAAACAAGGAAATCTAATTACTTTAGGTAAACAGTACTAGCAGACATCTCAGATTGTTTTTTATCAACATCTTTACTATAATTGAGGCAAGTGAAGCATATTTGATCCATAATTGGGTCTTGGTGCCAGATGGAGCCGGGATTTTGGTACAGTGCTAACACTGTGGCTAATGAGCTTTTAGCCTCATAAAAGGGAATCTGATCCAGTAAAAGTGTTGATTAGGGCCCCGTCCACACGAAGCCAAACCCTGGCCTAAACGCACAAATTTTTCACCAAACCAGCCTCTCATCCACACGAAGCCGGCGTTTCGGGGGTCTGTAAATTATCTTTTTTTAATTCAGCCTTCAGAGTGGGAAGATTCTGAAACGCTGTTTTCGCGTTTCCATCTTTAAGCTCTAACCGCATTTTTTTTTACACGCATGCGTCATAGCATCGCCTCTAAACACACATGCGCGACACAGTATCACAACAACAATGGCGCCGTACTGTGTTGAATGGTTGCTGCTAATGCTACTCACCCTGCTGTCGGGCTAACAACAGAATCTTCTTCTTCTGGAATATCTCCAGGAAGAACAGAGCAATATAGACGACATAGTTCAGCACCTGAATTTGACTTAACCACGAAAATGGACCCGCAGGGCAACCATGTATAAATATTAGTGCGCATGCCCAACATTTCGTCGCTTATTTTTGCTTTGGCACCACAGCGCCACTTACAGGCCTGGCATACATTTTGCAGCGTTTTCATGCATTCGTGTGGACGATCACATTTATTTTACGTCTCCGTCTTTACGACAAACGTTTTGGAAAATATCAGCGTTTCGTGTTCGTTTTGACTTCGTGTGGGCCTTAAATTATAGGACTACTCTTAAAAACTCCATCAACCTCGTAACTTCTGGTAAAATACATTTAGTAGCCCGTTGGACAGGTATGTACTACTCTATAGTTTATCATCAATGAAGGGCAGAGCCATATAATTTCTGTGTCCGGAGCATTTTTTCCAGAAGTCTTACATTGCATCATTGGAAGTGGATTCGAATCAATGAGTCGATGCAATCAACTGGTTTTCCTTAGATTGAAAACTCTGAATTTGACTGGATGATCTGGAGAACTGTAAAGTGCCTTGAGATGACATGTGCTGTGAATTGGGGCAATAGAAATAAACTGAATTGAATTGACTTAAAGGCAATCCCTCACACTAAGCATGCTTGTAGCGACAGTGGAGAGGAAAAACTCCCTTTTAACAGGAAGAATCCTCCAGTAGAACCAGGCTCAGTGTGAGCGGCCATCTGCTGAGGCCGACTGGAGTAAAGAAGACATATGTAGCTCCTCAAACAGAGAACAACAGTGAATGGCTGAGTGTAGTACTCTATGAATTTAAACGGCTGTTTGTAATATTCAGATATTAAGCCAGTAAAGCTTTAGAAATGTGTTGTGACGGAATTGGTTCTTTTAGATTTGTATTAGATTTAAATAGGTGTTTTTCTTATGAGTCTTAGACATTATGAGGTTTTACTGAGCGGAAAGGATTGACTCAAACAGCCCAGAGCAACAGCTGTGTAATGGACTAGTTTGATGATAAAACACTGAGTTGTTTAAAACATGTTCTGCCAAGGTTTGAAACATCAACAACAGCAGAAGGTTGGCTCCTTCTCCCTGACTCATTAGGGAACATTGTTACGGAGTGGAGTTAATGAGTAGGTGTGAAGTACAGGCTGGTTGGGCAGTACTCCATTATAACCAGTATTATTCCATCATGCTTGTACTATACGAGCAGGCTAAAAACAGACTCATGTTTGTAAATGTATTAACAGATGTTTTCAGGCTGTATAGCAAATCTTACAGTAGTAGCCACTGAAAATGTCCCCACTTTCCTTGATGGGCCCTTAGCTGGTTCCCTTCAATTCCTTTTTAAACATCAAATATTCTTTCTGTCATGATTTGTGGACATTAAGATCTAAAGAGAAGCGCCATCTACTGGTCAGACCCTGTTATTTAGTTAAAGGGCGGGGTCAGAGTAAAATATGCAAGAGGCTGGAAGTTGGAGGGGATATTGCTGGGAGTTGCAGGAGAGTGTTCTGCAATTCAGCTGCTGTTGGACTGGGAAGGGCCATTTTGAATGGCTTCTACTGTACATTGAACTTTTTACCTGTTTAATATCGTCACATTTTTTTTTACCAAAACGACTTTTCTACTTATTCCATGTTCCACCAGTAGATGGCATCACTCCTACATATAGGTGCTGTCTTGACGTGTGGATGTTCTCCTACCTGCGCTGCATCCATTTCGTTAAGCATGACGATGGAGGAGCAGTTGTAGTCAAACACCAGCCTCCAGAAGTCCCCCATGGTGTTTGGCAAAGGATGCTGGGTAACGATGAAGGCCGCGGGCTGTTTGTGGCTCTGAAAAGTGTCCATAGATAATCGGTAACCAGAAACTCATTAGGTACCTGAAGGTAGAACAGATAAGAGTCTAAACTCACGTCCATTAAAGCAGCGTTGATGTAGTTGGAGCTCTCTCCGTCCACAGATATGAGAAAAGGCAGGCATCGATCGGCAGACAGAACGTCCATACTGCGATTCTTATCATGATTTCGGGGGAGTAAACCCACACTGCAGTCCTCTGGGCGAACTCTAGGGGTCACTATGTTCAGCGTCTGTTTAGAGAGAAGTATTTCAGACACATCATCCTCACCTATAATAAAAAGCAAACAGGAAGCAAGGTGCGCTCACCTGGAACTCATCTTTAATCTGGCTGGAGTTGGTCTGGGGATCCAGTCTGCTGATGTTGTAGTAAACCGCTCTGAATTCACACACTGGGATCGCCGTGTTCCCACACAGGCACGCTTCCAAGATGGCATCGTGAACGAACACATACTGCTCCTGCAACCCCCAACAGAAGGAAGACCAGGACATAAAAAAAAAAAAAAGAAAAACCCAAACAAAGTCCATTAACTCGGTGAGCAAATAGCTGTTAAGCCTTTAATCTATGGAGTGAATTTTGTTCCATTATTATTGCAAAGAAAGATTTCTGTAGATAGATCTTTTTTCTCCCCCAGATTTTATAAAAAAAAAAGAAATATATTTTTTTTATTTATTTCTCTTTTGCAGATAATGTGTTATGACTGCTTTCTTTTCAGACCGCATTTTACGGAACCCCCAACTTCTGGGGTTTTGGCTTTGGTCTTTTTTTGGTCAAAAGCGAGCGTTTATACCGGGCTTAAGGTGAACAGAATATGATCTCTAAAACAAAAGAATGCAATTTAACAAACAAAAAAATTTGAAAATAGTAAATCAGTAAAAAAAAAGAATTAACGTTAAAAAATAAAACATCTGAAAGGAAATAGAAGTATATAGATTTTTTTTTTAAATATAACCTGAGAAAACAGCAAAGTTACTCACAAAACCTTTGCTTGTTTTCTTTAAGAAAAAGCTTCTGGATTAGCTTTTATTCTATTTTAAATTTACAAAAACACATTATTTCCAGAAATAATGGAACAAAACTTACTCCACATTAACCTTCCTTTGATTTTTTTTTTTGTCTTGCTCCATTTTTTTTAGAGCAGTCACAAAAGTCAATTGTTGATTAAAAGGGTTTGTTACCAACGGTATTATAAGCACTAAATCAAAAGGAGGTAAACTACTAGGCATGCATAAACCTGTTGGTTTATGCACATCAGTGCAACATTTGCAATCTTGCGCTCTTGTGGCCTTTACGATAAGCATTGGTGTTTCTGTCTAAAACAGAAAAACCTGCAGGTAAATGCATCACCCAGTAAAGTGCATATTAATCCACCGCCGTCTTAACCTGCTAGCTGCTTTATCTTATAGCAGTTGGGTTATTTAGTCTGTGTCCCACACGTGTTTGTCTGCTGCTACTCGCTTTTTCAATTTGCCTCCAACGTTATCTTTCAGCTTCTCTCTGCTGAATTCTGATTTGGAGAGGCAGGTTTAAAAGCGTTATCAAAGTGACCTCTCTTGGTCATTACCTACTTTACTGCCGTTCATACACACACACACACACGCGCTCCAAAAAACCCAGCACAAACCGATGAGTGATGCACACACACTTTTCTCTCTGTGACTTTTAAAAGATTAATTGCTTTGTGTTGTGCGGAGCTGGAGCAGGATTATAATAGAGGCGAATGGCTTCCAAGCTGACACAAATTGCTCCCACACATATTCAAAAAGGCAGGGCAGGATGCATTTAGCTTGGTTTCAAGAGGCACACACACAGAGCTAGCCGCATCACGGCTGCTGTCATTATGGTAAAGAATCACCCTCGACGCGATGCTTTGGGTCGCTCTCATGAACCAAACACTTCCATAATGCCTTCAAAAGTCATTTTAGCCGTGAAGCATGAGCAGTTGGGCTGTCCCTTTTTTGTTTAAATGGTGGAAAAGTTAATTTTGTTCCTTTTTTTGGAAGTGCACTATTTTCATTAAAGGCAGAAATGGAAAGCAGAGGCGGGATGGATTAGATGGGCTTACAGTAGCTTAGAAGGGAAATGAGTATTTCTGTTCCAAAACTACGCGGCCAACAGTCGGAGACAGTCGCTTTAATAATGACTGATCAGACTCATTTGGAGCAGCTGAGCAAACTGTGTGAAACAAAGGATGGAAAAGAGGAGCTCTGCTCAGAAAAACAACTCTAAGAGAATTACCTGCTGTGTTTTACTGGGATATTAAACAACTGACTTCCCCTCATTCATCATTAAAGATAATTTCACTGCTTTAAAGTCGTAGGGAAATCATATTTAAAAGTCAAATCATTCTGGCTTAAACATGTATATAAATGTACAAAATTTAGAAAATTTCTATAAAAAAAAGAAGAAAATCCTGTCTTAAAATCTGTGTTTTTTTATTTTTGTTATCTTATGCAGGGCAGTTAGTTCTACGTCAGCCTGAACACCTAAATTCGGCCAATAATATATCAACGGTCATCTGTCAATCAAATGTTTTTGGTCATAGCATCTTGATTTATATGTCACAGCTAATATACGCAACAGTTAAAATAAGAATAATTTCCTTTCCCATTGAGTTCCGTCCCAGTGTTCACGGGGATGGACGTCTGTGTCTTCAGCAGGCGTAGAGCTAACAGAACTGGCAAGGGCTCAAACATGTACGGCTGGAAGCCTTCTACACCAAACCAAGCTTCTGCCGCCCTGGCGTCCTCTTCCACAACATCTTTGTCCCCGCTTTCCTCCTCTAAATAAAAAATGGATGACGAAGGAGACTCATCCACGACCTCCGACACTAAACTCTCCTCCTCTTGCATGTTTCCGCTGTCCATAGCATTCCTTGACAGTGTCGTTTCTAAGTCACCAATTTAGTGCTACTTGGTCCCAATGGAATTTCCCATTGGGAACCTACTAGCACTAAGTTGCTAACTGGTTAGCAAGATGCTTCCAACAAACCGGCCACAATCAAACTTGCTTGTGAACCTTCCGCCACAACAATCCCGCCCTCTTGATAAACGACCAATCAAATTCACTTCATTCACTTGTGTAAAGTTGTGCACCATTCGGGAGAATCCTGGAGAAGTGGTTGGAACAGCCGTTTCTCCCGAATTTAAACATGGTTGAGCTGCTGAAGTAATTTTTTTGTTATATTACTATTGGGTCCTCATAGACCGTTTTTTTTTTTTTCATCAGAGCTACGTCAGGGCGTTAGCTAGGGCGAAACAAACCCACAGCTGGAGATGGCCGATACAGACCAGCACAGGGTCACATTAGCTTAGCTGACTGCGTTGTTGGTTGGCAGAATGAACAGACAATAGGAAATGTTATCGTATTCCTTATGCTACTCCCAGACAAACTGGGTTCCGGACTCCTGGACCTCTGAGCCTTCCTGTTCTGATCTGTTTGCCTGACCCTGCTCGGGCTCCTGCCTGCTCTCTGGGGTTGCATCATCTGGGACACTCTGGGTGGCGCCCACCGCATCTAATTGGCGGTCCACCGTCTGGGGCCTACCTCGTTCTATGGAGACTGACTGAACTGTTTAACCGGGTTAGTGACTCCTATGGATAATCATCCTCCGTCAGATAATCATGGTCAGTAATCTGTTTTTTTTCTCCAACCAGAGTTTCCCGTGGGCGGTGCCCCACCCTAGAAGCTGATACCTCGGATCCACAGCCAGCTTCTGAAATAAATAAACGCTTTGAATTATCCCACTTTCTGACTCGCATTGAATACTCCGTCCTTCTGTCCCTTCTTGAGAGTTCATTAATTCTCTTAATTTTGAACCTTAAACGCCTCACAGGTGGAATAAAAGTTTGACAGCTGTGCATTTAAAGCTTAAACTGTGTTCTTCATGGTAATGAATGGTTAAAAGTTCTCCCCTCCTACCTCTGTCTGGACCATGTTGACCCGTTGGGACCTCAGCTCGCGGATACAGTTGAAAATGTCCACCACTCCTTCATTTTCCGCCATGTCCAGCATGATGTCCACAGCGATGAAACAGCCCGTCCTCCCCGCACCAGCGCTGCAAAGACACATGGAAAACATGCAGTTCAGCTGTAATCGACTAAAAAGAAATATAGAAACCTGCCAAGGTACAGTAAAAAAATAAATACATAAATAAATCATTAGAGGAAAGCTTTGAATATTCATGTTTATTCAAACCTGCTTGCAGCAGTTACCTTATTTTATTGGTTTATTGCAGGGATCACCAGTTAAAAATCAGTGGGGTCTGAATAAAGAAAATCAATAACCAGTAAAGGTCCAGAGACATTTTTAATTATAATCTGTTATTTTAAACAGAATTTAACACTCTAAAAGCCTGTTGGGCAGCTGATGCACTTTTTTGTTTTCCTTGCACTGCAAAAAATGTAAATCTAATTAAGTAATTTTTTCTCAAGATAAGTGTATTTTTTCTTGAATTGAGGGGGTAAGTGAAACATTTTGCCACTGAAACTAGACAATTTACACTTAAAATAAGAAAAAAGACCTGCATTGTCTTATTTCAGGTGCATATTATCTAATTAACTTATTCTAAGAGTAAAAATAGTCATTCCATTGGCAAACGATCTTATTTTCCTGCTTTAAATTATGAGCAAATTCACTTAATTTCACTTATTTCTAGATAATTTTTGCAGTGTGCGTTCTTTCTAAAAGTGAGCAGAGTGATTTGACGTAGAAATAGTCTGCACAGACAGACTAAAAAACGCTTCTATGACAGGTAGGACTGATTTAAAGCACTTTTTAGAAAAGGCAAAAAAACAATCTGGGATTCACATGGAAAATAATATATAGTGTACTTTTTCTACATGTTTGTTGGTTTGCATAGTTGCTCTTAAATAAACACATTCCCAGAAAACTAACAGTTTTTAGATATTGGAAAAATATAAAGCTGAATAATAGCTTCGCTATTATTAACTGGTAGATTTATCTTTTTTTTTTAGATTTGTGACACAATATTGGAAAATGAATAACACAGATTTGCCTTCACAAAGACTCAGAAGGGCAAGATTTATGTACAAAAAGTAAACCTGTACATGAAATTATGTTTTTATAAAGTGTTTTTATAATGTTTTTTTTCTTGTTGGCATTCATATAAATCTACTGGTGTGATAAATTAGTACACGTTTTGTGTTACACAACAAATTGTTTTTTGGTATACGTCTTTTTTTATTTTAAAGCCCCCCCTGGAGAAAACTCCACCAGCTGCCACTAAATTAGCCATGGCTAATTCCCAATGCCTGGGCCTTAAAGCGCTTTTAACAGTTGAAATAACTGAAAAGTAGAAACAATAACAATAAACAGAAATGTCCAGGAAGCGGTTTGCAGGAAGAAAATAAAGGACCAGACGTCCTCTTTTTTTCACAGACATGTCCTATTACACGGGGCGTCCCCATGCTTCCCCCCGCCTGCCTGGGCATGGGGCCGGTGTCCAGGCTACCGTCGGGGTTAGGTTTGGTTGCTCCGTCCCCCGATGGCTCCCTTCCTCCCTCCGCCGGGGACAATCCTGGACAATTTTGAATTTCCTCCCCGGACATTTTTTTTAGGTATGAAAAGTAGGACATGTCCGGGAAAAAGAGGACGTCTGGTCACCCTACCATATAAACAATCTGATGTTTCAGTGAGTGAGTGCTTGTTGCTATGATGCATCTTTGCTCAGCAGCTTCGCTCGTTGTAAACCAGCCAATCAGCGCACAGCTTATCTTAATATTCATGATCATACCATAAAAGGAAGAAAACATGTCGTTTCATTCTTTGGCTTTTAACCAGGCTTGCATAATACCGGTATGCCATTCTCATCCCAACCAATGTTACACACCCTATTTAGAGACCTTAAGGACCAAATACCCTATAGAATCATTCTATGACCCCTTTAAAGCGTTTTAATCTTCCTCCAATTTAGCAAACCTCCATAAATCAACATCACAGCTGACGTCCATCTTGCTGCTAACCCTACTAGGCTCTTCTGGGGGCAAAATTGGGATAAATGTGTTGGAAAGTGGGCAATCTGTTGATTCCACTGGAGTCACATTCACCAAAGATCAGAGACAAGTCGGATTCAGAACCTGCAGATTTAGGGATGGCTCAAATAGGAATAATCAGATACCTGCACTGAGACCAGTCACAGCAGATTACCAGACCAGCTTTAAACTGATGTCTGACAGAACTGTGAAGCTCTACAGAAAAAGAAAAGTAATGTCTCGCTGCGTTTAACGGCTCTCAGAGGTCCAACTAAACTATTTACCAGTAAAAAAACAAGTAAAACATAAAGGAGGAAATAATGCCTGCCTGTTTTTCATCACACAGAGACACAAACAGGCTGTAATATCCGGTGTTAAAGTGACAGAAGAAACTGGAGAAGAGGAAGAGCCACAGATGGAGGGATGGACTGAATACGCAGAGCTGTGGGACGACGTGAAGAGGCAGCAGTGATCAGCCGAAGGAACAAGGCACAGAGGGATGAGGAACAGGAGGCCGGAGACCCATCGTTCATTTTACAAACCTTTATGACAGCTTTCAGAGACGAGCAGAGAGAGAAAACAAGGAGAGAAGAGAGAGAAAGAGAAGCAGGGAGGGAAGGAGAAGGAGAGAGCGCCTCAGCAGATTACCTGTCAGCGTCTGTGATTAATGTAGAGACCAGAACACTGTTGGGCCTGTGTGTGTGTGTGTGTTTGAAGGTTTGACACAGGCCAACAGCGTTAGAGTGCCCCGGAAATTGGAAGTGACTGCTATAACTTCCTGCCTGTCTGTCCACATGCTTCCACCGAGCTCGTCTGTTTACGTTGTTGGCTCTCCTCACTCTGCTGTTCCCCTCTTCTCTCTCCTGTTGTATTAGTATTTTAAACATTTCCACATCAGAACGCCCTTTCTGCGGCCTGGTTAAAAGCTTTCAAACCGATGTTCTAAGATGGAATGACCTGTGGTTTTGTCTTCACATTCTCACTCGTTTTAAAGTGAGCGATACTATAATGACTAACAATAAGAACCAAGAAAACATTAAAATTTTGTAAAGGAGTAAAACTGTTTCTTAAAGGTCATAGTAACAACATTTTTATCCAAATTAATCATTTTTCATATCTGGTGTGGTGCAGAATAAAATAAATCTCTGTCTATATAAATTAGTTTATAAATGTTGATTGGTCTATACCAGAATATAGGCAGATTCTATGATAGTAGCTCTATGAGAGAGCTGAGAAATGGCTTGTTCTCTGCACTACAGTTCTTAGAATTAAGCCAACAAAAAGCAAACATAAAAGAAGCCTGTTACAACTAAGGGGGCTGCCAATTTAATTCCTTAATGAAGTTTAAAAGTCAACCACTGTCAATGCTCTAAAATGGAGGTCTGTAACAGGGGTCGGCAACCCAAACTGCTCAAAGAAACATATTGGACTAAAAAAAAAAAAATTAATAAATCTGTCTGGAGCCGCAAAAATGTAAAAGTGTTAAATATGCCTCTTATGGCAACACGGGCTCTAAGTATATTATCCTACTATAGAAAAGGACTATGTGGGCTTAAATATATAACAAGCATTCATGATTCAATGTTTATTCTGGAGCAAATGTCACATAGTAGCATGAGGTGAGGGAGGAGCAGTGGAATTCAACGCACATTTTAGGTTTCGTTGCATTGATGAAATTATAGAAACAGGATAAAGGAATCTTTCTATGGTGGACGTGTTTCTGTTGGGAGGAGTTGATTGAGTCATGAGGAACCAAGCAGGAACTGACATCCATCAGAGCAGAGCTCTCTAATCCTGAAATCCTGTATCATTCGTCAGCATCGTTCCTTGGTTTAATTTTTATTTTTAGGATTTGGGGAAAAAATGGAAGAAGGTTCCCATCGCTGCATCAGAGCGCTACCTGTTCCTTCTTTATTGGTTTTCTATGCTTGCAACCAAACTAGCAGCAGTAGTGGAGTTTGGAGATGTAATCCACTTCTTAAATCTATTAATTATTTGCTCTCCTCTAATTTATCCAGAAGTTCTGCTTTCACACTTTTTCTCTAACTCCCAGTTTGGTGGTCGGCTGCATATTTAGCCTTCCCTGGAAAAGCCTTTCCAAATTTTTCTTTTTCTTTTTTGACAACCTCTCATTATAAAGCAAACATGCAGGCAATCCTTCCACATTGATAATGAAAGCAAATGATTTGCTCCATTCTGTGAGTCCTCTGTTCTCATCAGCTGTCTTCCTTTTTTTCCCTTTGGGATCCATGGTCCGAAACACACCCACCGCTTTGTTTGCCTGGCACCGTGACACACTGATTAAAAGTTATGACCACTGATCTCCATGGGTATGAAGCAAATTATTTTTTAAACATATTTATTATACAAATGTTTACAGCATTAGAAAACATAACTAACATAATTCTTTAACCTCCTGCACACCATATTATAACAACAAAAATAATAATTTCATAAATTTTTGAAAAACAGGTTGCCGGCCCCCGCCCTAGGGGGTCCACAGAGTTACTGCATCTCTGCTTCTTTTACTATCTCTGCTTCTGTCTCCTTGAACCCCAGTCGGCCTCAGCAGATGGTCGCTCACACTGAGCCTGGTTCTGCTGGAAGTTTCTTCCTTTTAAAAGGGAGTTTTTCCTCTCCACTGTCGCTACAAGCATGCTTAGTGTAAGGGATTGCTGAAGATTCAATGAGTCGATGCAATCAACTGGTTTTCCTTAGATAGAAAACTTTGATTCAATTTGACTGGATGATCTGTTTGAACTGCAAAGTGCCTTCAGGTGACATGTGTTGTGAATTGGTTAGAAATAAACTGAATTGAACTGAGTTGGTGCTCATGGGAAATGCTGTCTTCCTTCAGCCAAAACAATACAGCTTTTGTCCACTGGAGGGATCTAAAATCGACCAAAACCCAATGTTCGTAAGCATTGCTTTAAAGTGCTACAGTCAACAAAAGTAGCAATCTGAATTTTGACTAAATTAACTGAGCTTGAATTATTTCCATCCAGATTGCAGTAAGATCTTTTAAATTCTGTAAGGGTGATTGGTCGGGTTCTTAGGTGAGACGATAATACTTCTTCTTCTCTCAGAGAAAACCATGAATGCACACTGTGCCCCAATTTCACTCTAGTTTGAACTTTCATCACTAAGCAGTTGTGCTTTGCAGCACAAGTTTGTCTTTTTATTTTGTATTAGAGATGTAACCACTGCTTCACAGACAAATAAAAAAAAGAAAATGGGTCAGGCTGAAAAAAATACTACAAAAGGAAAATAGGTCAGAGAAAAACAGAAAATATGGGATAAGCGTATGTCAACTTTGAAAACTGCTCCCTCTATAACAGTATTTATGAATAATAATGGAAGAATTTCATAACGTAGTTTGTTTAAAACGATTTTTTCAATAGCCTCAACCTCTAGTTTCACTGTCATTAAATGCTGTGAGACTTAATTTTAATTGATAGGACAAGAAATAAAAATATGTGCTTGGGATCATTTCACAAACACACTATAAAAATATGTTTTTCTTCACTATTATGTTATTTTTATAAACTCTTCTAAGGTCCACATTTGTGTGACAATTTTTTCTTTAATCTTTTTTGCTGCTGTAACACAAAAATTCCCCCATTGTGGGAGAATATACTATTCTATTCTATTCTGTTTTTTGCAGTCCTGTTTTGTTTTGTAAAAGCCCTAACTACAATAAATCTTAATAGACACAGTTGTGACAGAAAGATTATGGTGGCGGATGCCGCACACATGCAGAAAATGAGGAAATCAATAAAGAAAAAGGAAAATTGCTTCACCCAAATAAAATATGTAAATGCCAAAACTTAAAAATAAACAAAACGCATCATCCTTAAAAACAATTTTATCATCCTTGTTCACAGACACTTGCAGCTGCTTTTCTACAGTCATTTTTTGGGTTGTCTATTGTATTTTAATGTGTATACAGGTGCTGGTCATAAAATTAGAATATCATGAAAAAGTAGATTGATTTCAGTAATTCCATTTAAAAAGTGAAACTTGTATATTATATTCATACATTACATACAAACTCATATATTTCAGATGTTTATTTTGTTTAATTTTGATGATTACAAATGACAACAAATGAAAATCTCAAATTCATCATATCAGAAAATTAGAATATTACTGAAGACCAATAAAAACAAAGGATTTATAGAAATGTTGGCCAACTGAAAAGTATGAACATGAAAAGTATGAGCATGTAGAGCACTCAGTATTTAGTTGGGCCTCCTTTGGCCTGTATTACTGCAGCAATGCGGCGTGGCATGGAGTCGATCAGTCTGTGGCACTGCTCAGGTGTTATGATAGCCCAGGTTGCTCTAATAGTGGCTTTTAGCTCTTCTGAATTGTTGGGTCTGGTGTATTGCATCTTCTTCTTCACAATACCCCATAGATTTTCTATGGGGTTAAGGTCAGGAGAGTTTGCTGGACAATTAAGAACAGGGATACCATGGTCCTTCAACCAGGTACTGGTAGCTTTGGCACTGTGTGCAGGTGCCAAGTCCTGTTGGAAAATGAAATCTGCATCTCCAAAAAGTTGGTCAGCTGCAGGAAGCATGAAGTGCTCTAAAACTTCCTGGTATGTGGCTGCGTTGACCCTGGACCTCAGAAAACACAATGGACCAACACCAGCAGATGACATGGCACCCCAAACCATCACTGACTGTGGAAACTTTACACTGGACTTCAAGCAACTTGGATGAAGTGCCTCTCTTCTTTTCCTCCAGACTCTGGGACCTTGATTTCCAAAGGAAATGCAAAATTTACTTTCATCAGAGAACATGACTTTGGACCACTCACCAGCAGTCCAGTCCTGTTTCTCTTTAGCCCAGGCAAGACGCTTCTGACGCTGTCTGTGGTTCAAGAGTGGCTTGACACAAGGAATGCGACAGCAGAAACCCATGTCTTTCATACGTCTGTGTGTGGTGGTTGTTGAAGCACTCACTCCAGCTGCAGTCCACTCTTTGTGAATCTCCCCCACATTTTTGAATGGGTTTTGTTTCACAATCCTCTCCAGGGTGCGGTTATCTCTCTTGCTTGTACACTTTTTTCGACCACATCTTTTCCTTCCCTTCGCCTCTCTATTAATGTGCTTGGACACTGAGCTCTGTGAACAGCCAGCCTCTTTAGCGATGACCTTTTGTGTCTTGCCCTCCTTGTGCAAGGTGTCGATGGTCGTCTTTTGGACAACTGTCAAGTCAGCAGTCTTCCCCATGATTGTGTAGCCTATAGAACTAGACTGAAAGACCATTTAAAGGCTTTTGCAGGTGGTTTGAGTTAATTAGCTGATTAGAGTGTGGCACCAGGGGCCATCAATTTTGAACCTTTTCACAATATTCTAATTTTCTGATATGATGAATTTGAGATTTTCATTTGTTGTCATTTGTAATCATCAAAATTAAACAAAATAAACATCTGAAATATATGAGTTTGTACGTAATGTATGAATATAATATACAAGTTTCACTTTTTAAATGGAATTACTGAAATCAATCTACTTTTTCATGATATTCTAATTTTATGACCAGCACCTGTATTATGTATGTATTACTCTTGTATTGTATTTATTGTGTTTTAAATTGACTGACTCTGACTGTGACTAACTGGATGTGTTCTCTTCATCCTCTGACATGGGAGCTGGGACGGAGCTCGTCTGCCTGGCTGTGTGTTTCCTGGATGGGGTCACCTTTTACTGTCGCTTTTAGTATCTCTGCTTCTGTCTCCTTGAAACCCAGTCGGCCTCAGCATTATTATTCGGACCCTCCTGATTTTTAATTGGTGATCCCTGTGCTAGAATCATAGCGGGGTTAATCTGCAGAAAATGTCTGTGGTTATCTGGCCTTACCTGCAGTGCACGGCTATGGGTCCGGCGTCCGGCGGATTGAGGAACTTGACCTGCCGTATGAACCCCAGCAGTCCTGTGGCGTAACAGGGGACGCCATGATCCGGCCAGCTGGTGAAGTGGAACTGACGAAGTTCGCGGATCTCATGATGGCCCTTCTGAAAGAAACAGAACACGTTGTTTAAGGTTAAATCTTCTACGGTGAAGGCCTCCAGAATGGACTCTGTTGACTCATGAAAAGCGCGTCAGCTTGATTATGATAAATGCAGGGACGTCAGGAAGCATTTGCTTCCTTTTTTTTCGGGCAAACAGACAAGAAGACGCCTCGCAGTTCAGGGCCCCGACTATACAGCAGGGATTTCCAGGAGTATAAAGGCCTTGATGTGTCTTTGGTTTCACATGGAGAATAAATCAATCTTGTGGATGTCAAGATGTCTCTTTGGGCCACTTCTGGGACAAAGGGGCAAGGAAGACGTATCGAGGCTCATTTGTGTAATTTACAGGGGAGGATTGAGGAAACTGAAGGCCACTCAGCTTCCATAAAAAAGATTAATTGATTCCACAAATCTCATGATGGCCCTTTAGGGAGGAACTTACAGGACGCTTTGCCATGGTCCAATTCAGCTGCCCAGTTTGCCACCAAAGAGGCTGACAAATGGAAAAGCACTTCACCAACATAGCAAGTACTCCATGACTTCACCTAAAACTGTCAGCAATCATAAGCTACAAATAAAAAGACTAATAAAAGGTGATAACGTATAAAATTCTTAAAATCAGTGAATTCTTCCTTGTTTGATCAGGTACAAGGGTGTTACTGTGATGAAAGTTGGTGGGGACACTCGGGTAGAGGCTGATGGAGCTACGCTTTTATTAGGTTTTTGTATTTTCCAAAAATGAGCTCAAACATATATTTATTGAATGCTTTCTTATTTGTTGAGAACACAAGAGAACCATAATACACTGATATTTATATTTATAGATGTTAGAGAGATGCCTTTTGGTGCAATACCAAAATATAGGGCAGAAAAAAAACAATGTATAAAAAAATAACAAATAACAGCCGATGCCGAAATTGATCCATCCAAAAAAAATATGGATATGCTGCATTTTAAATGGAGCATAGCATATTTTTTTCTTGCAAACTTTCTGGTAAACTTGGTGAGGTATTTTATTGAATGTTGCATTTCCCAGTAAATCTGTTTCATCTTTAATCTCCCTGCTTTTCTCTGCTCTGTTTGAAAAGATTTATAAACCTCTTTACTAAAATGAATATAATATAAAAAGCTCCGTATGATTTCAAATTTTTTTTAACCAACCCGTCTCCTAACTTTTACTTAAACATGGAAGTAGCTGCTGGTTAAATTCACTGAGTGCTGCTGTGTGTCTCTCCTGCTCCACATAGCTACTTTGTCACTGTGAAATGTGACCGCAATTGGATGTCTCAAAGTGACAGATGTAATGATCATACACCGAGAGGTGGGACACAGGGACAAGGGGAGAGAGGAAAAAAACAGACTTAAAACACATACTAAAGTAAATGAGCGGAAAGGACCTGGTGGGGACTGTCCCCTCCTGGCAAAAGGACTGGTGGGGACATGTCCACACCAGTCCTTCAGAAAGTTCCACCTGTGAGCAGGTATATAGTGACCTGCCAATTAAAGGAACAAATTTCCTTCCAAATGAGACAATAAGATAATATTCACTTAAGATTAGACAAAAAACTTGTTTTTTTCTTCCTATTTAAAAAAAACCTCTTTATTTTATTGGCAAATTGTCCAGGCTGCTGCACTTTCTCAAACAAAGGGAGAAAACACTTATTAAAAGCAAAATTGACTTGGATTTAAGTATTTGCTGTGTACAGTAGTTGGTTCTTAACTCTGTGGCAAAGACAATTACTATGACTAGGAGCCACAAAATCATGTCCTCTGCCCGCCTATGTAGTAAATTCTCAGTCATCCGGTTCATGGTAAATCAGGCTTGATTCTAAGGAAAGCGGACATTTCCTCATCAATCCAGGATTCTTGGGCTTTCTGTCGGCTCCTCCAGAACAATCTGTAGCTGGAGCTCTGATGTTTTGCGCAGCATGGAGGTCAATCTACCTTAGGGCCCCCTTCACACCTTAACCATTTAGCCAGCGTATGCCTGACTACCTGAATCTCCTTAAACGTCGGCATACGCTGAACTTTCAATGATTTCTTTTCAATTTTGGGGGTATACAAAGCGTATTCATAACGAGTCCAGAACTTATGTCCAACGACAGCCTAACTCATGCATAACGCACGGCAGCCTACTGCCCATGAAATTATGCACAAGCCAATGTCCTGAGGGGGGCAGCAATGCGCCCAGAGGCGCCTGGCATTGCTCTAGCTGCAGTTTACCGCCCGCCAAAAAAAATAAAATAAAAAATAAAAAGAAAGAAGATTTTTTGTACGTCAGCTGGTCTACATCTTCAAGATGTGACAGAGGCTTAAGCAAATCAAAGACAAACCCATCATTCTAATGGTTGTAGAAATCTTTTGCTGTGTATTGTTTTTTTTGGCCATTTAAATCTTGTTGAGTGTTGCTTTGATTCTTCAAGATGCTTTGAAGCTGAAACCACACTCCTGCCCCTCTTTTCAGTTATAGTTATTCTTCTACAAATATGGCTTCCTTCACCCCTCTTTTAAACCATCTGTCCTCTCTGTCTAAATTCTGAAGTTTTTTTTGCTCATCAAATATTTGTCCTTTGCTCTTGAGGTATCCAGCTGAATTTGCCGAAGGCTAAAACAAACACATTCTCAGAAAAAAAATAGTTTTTAAATATAAAAAAAAATATAAAGCTGACTAATAGATTCTCCATTACTAAATTGGTACATTATTTTTTAGATTTGTGACAAAATATTGGAGCATGCAAAACACAAATTTATCTTCACAAAGTCTCAGAAGGGCAAGATTTATGTACAAAATGAAAATGAAATTATGTTATGGAGCCTAGGGGGAAGTTCAACTGAAGAAAATGATCACTCTCCTACATCCCCCTATGACACAGCAATCAGTTTAGAACCACGCCTCCATGAAAGCCAATCAGCATCCAAAGTTCATCTTAAAAGGCCTCCGATAGGCAACTAGTCTGCTACCTAGTGTGCAGGCAGTGGCTGTGCTGTCTGACTTCATTCAGATGACCCCGTTTCAACCCAGCTCAATCCCCTCCTCCACCATCTTAGCTAAAACTTCATCAGTGTCATTCCTCCCGGACTCTTACTGCGTTTCACGTCTCATTTCAAAAGCCCTATTCTTAGCTCCTGTTCATGCATATCTATCAAAATTCAGCGCTAATGTTTCCGCCAAAGACAAAGTCATTGTATCAATAAATTTCTTGTAATTGTCTTTTCTCTTGGTGTCAGATTTTCAGATTGAATTGTTTTTATAAAGTGTTCTTCGTTGTTGGCATTCATATAAAAATACTGGTGTGATAACTTAATGTATGTGTCATGATCTGGCCTGTTTGCTCCTCCTTAATTAGTAATTCCTTTTACTCTTCGTTTTCCCTCCCTGCCTCAATTATAATTTATTCCTCTCACCTGTTTCCTGTTGTTTATATTCAGTTCAGCCTGAGTATTTGGCACCAGATCATTATTTGTCTTTCTGTTAGTGTGTCTGTTCAGTTTTTGCCTTGGTTCATGTCCTGGATCCTAGCAGCCAGTGGAAAGAGGGTCTTTGTGTTTGTCTCGTCTCCTGATCGTCCACTGTTCCTCACCCGCAGAGTCCTCTGGGTTTTTGGCTCTATATGTGGGGAGGTTCAGTTTTTATCCAAGTAAGCCTGGCTCCAGGGAGGAGACCAGTTTAAAGGTCCTGCATCAAGTTCTGGTTCCACGCCCTGTCTCGGCTACCCTTGGCCACTGAGCCTGCTCATCTGCACCTGATCCTGTCTGCTCCTGTGCGTGACCGTCTGGCCATGCTTCAGACTCTGTCTCTAACCTGTCTGGGAGCTCTGTTATTGCCTGGAAGCCTGGATCCTGCCTCCTGTTCTGTTCCTGCCTGATCTGCAACCTGTTCTGTACGTTCCTGCCTGATCTCTATCCCTGATCAGGATCGGCTTCCTGCAAGAACTCTGGAACTGCATCTTTGGGGACATTCTTGGACTGGACTTTTTAACCAGGTAAGTGACCAACTCAGATAATCATCTTCTTTCAGATGATCGTGGTCACTTACCTGTGTTTCTCCTGCAGAGTGTCTGTGATTGGGCAGTGCCCCGCTCCCCATCCTGCAGTATCCGCGAGCCACAGCTCCGCTTTTTTTTGTTTTGTTTATTTAATAAACATTTTGAACTTTCCTACTGACTGTCTCTCCTTGAATACTGGGTCCATCTGTCCGTGTTTCATGACAGTATGTTTGATTGGTTTTTGGTATACGTCTATTTTAAATGTATAGTTCCCCTGGAGAAAACTCCACCAGGCGCCACTGCTACCCAGGGTCCTGAAGACCACCAGTCCAGGAGGAAACTGGGGAACTTGTGTGAAGTGGCAAGCAGCAATGGCGTCGCTAACTGATTTTTCAGTATGTAAACCAAAGTGATGCTTGTGCAGAAAAGTTTGTGGTGCAAGCTACTGAGCAAGTTACTGACTCTGAGATATTTCATTTGGTTGATTCTTCTATTTGTATTTTCATTTTCATTCTCTGTAAAGTGACCTTGAGTGTCCAGAAAGGTGCTGTTAAATAAAATGTATTATTAATATTATTTTGTGATTTATTTGAAACTTGATCAGGTTTCAAACCCCTGATAGCATAGTAAAGACCAGAAACCTTTTATGAAACTCAACCAGCAGGGAAAAAATATCTACTTTGTTCTTATTTTGAACGTAGACCTCCGTCACACCCTGGGATTCTACTTCCTTCTTTCAGGAGATATTTTTTCCACCAAACTATGTTCTTCTTCTTTAATTATTCAACACAATCGATGTCCCTTTCTGCTTCTAAACTGAGAAAGCTATAATGTCTCAAGTTCAGTTTACTCTCTAAGAATAGAAAGCGAAGAGGAGCTGTTGTTTTTGCATTCCTCATTCTAGTTCAGGTCAAGCAGAGCTGTGGAGGGTTTTCCTTTCGAATGCGTACCTGATGATAGCTGGAGAGGAATGGACGGTACAACAAGGGGAGAAACTGGAGAGGTCAAGAAAATGAA